CATTGAAGGGGGGGCTTCAAGAGGGCTTCCAAGGTTTGTATGGGGAAATTTTCATGATATGACTTAAATTTTAATTTTAATCTTTTTTTTTTTTTAAATTTTTTTTTTTAAGTTTTTCTCTCTATTTTATTTTGCGTTCACTCATTTCATTTATACCCGGTTTATTAATCCTGATGACAGGTCAGTGAAGTTGATTTGATTCCAATGGATTGACATGTTATTCTGCACCTTTTAACTTCTATATCTGTTAACACGCAGCTAATGTGATCGATCGACTGTGGCTTCTTAATCCCATGTGTGTTTTCAAACTTGTTTTGGAAATGCAAATAATATTTCATATAGGTGAGTATAGTCACCCTCCTTGTGAAATACAATACTAAATTTCTTCTTCATTCATGATGATGAAACTCTTTCACTATTCTCCTATTATGAATTTAAAAAAAAAAGACAAGAATAGGTAGATAATTAATTGAATTCAATTCTAATATAAACTATGTTCCCCTAGTCTACCATCTGAATACTTGCATCTCTTCTCTCCTCCACCTGAAACTCCATTCCTCTAGTACCCCTCAAAGAAGCATATAAATAGATTGCTCATTTAATTATAGTTTCAATACAATATCTCCTTCTCTTCCAAATCTCCATTCTTTCTTTTAACTCCACTGGGGTAGTTTGTGGAATATTTTTTTGGGGGGGAAAGGGTTTCTTTTTGAAATGCAATAAATTGAGAGAAAAATGGGGGGAGCTTAATTTTCAAAGGGGCCCTGCCATGTAAACAGTTATCATCCTCGCAAAAGCATAGAAGGAAAAGTGAAAATCCACGTTCAACTATTGGAAAAGGTATGCGACAGTGAATTTTAGATGTGGATATATGATGGGTCATTTTCCTATTTCGCTGCTATCCAAATGGTGATGGTGCAGAACGCAAATGAATGTCCGCTCAAATTAACTAGCCGTAAGGGCTCGAGTGGATTAGAACTAACAAAAATAAGAAAGGTTTAGGAAAAGAGAGAGAAATATTTTTTCCAACGATTTTCTTACCAGCAACTTATTAGCGATCAGTTGCTTACCGTTCGTTATAGATATGTAGAACTACTTATTAGGTAGATAAATATCTGTTTCCCATCCCGTTCATATCACCGGGCGGAGAAGAGGGTGAAAAGGTGATCTCATCAAACCGTGAAAGGCAAGGAGAAAGGAGGGAAGGAAAAAGGGGGGGGGAAGAAGAATAAAAAAACCATGCGCAAATAGTTTATCACGAGAGAATGAGTAGAGAGTATTGTAAACAGGGGACATAGGTGCGTCAAAATGCATTGTAAAGGGTATGTGTGGATGAGGGAGGGTGAGCTGGGGACGTAATATGTTCTTTTACTCAGATTTTCTCTTGCCCACTGCCAGGGCAGTCTCTTTCTCCGTTGAGTTCTTACTTGCAATTATCAGAAAAGGTAATATGTAGGATGATATAATATGAAAACCACTTCTCGAATCTGACAACGACAGCAAAAGCGATCAAGACAGAAGGGAACGAAAGATAGAAATTAACAAAAAGGGAGAATGTGTGAATGAATTAAAAACAAGATCTAGCCAGATCTATACACACACAGAATGCACACATATCTGAAAACGCACAAAAAAAGATAAAAAGAAAAAACACAAACAAAATAAAATTAAATCATCATAATTATCAACATCAAACAACCTCCTGCCCTGGCAATCGCCTCCCCCTCCTCCCCAACAACGTGGCATTATCCAAACTTAGCTCAAACGGCTGCCTCGACGAGCGCGCCGCGCTCTCCCTCGCTGCAGCCGCAACAGCAGCACTATGCGTCCCATATCCACCACCCCCACCACCACGTTGTTGTTTCTGCCGCTGCTGCTGCTGCTGCTGCTGTGGTTGGGCAGGCTGGTTTTTAACTGCCTGCTGTCTCGCCTGCGCTGCAGCACTGGGTTGTGACATGTTAACTGCACCGGATGCTGCGTTCAAATTTGTAGACTGCAACTTAGCCTCCATGGAAGCCACGTCAGCGCGGTTGGTATGATAAATCACCCGCCGAGCCTTAATAGGCGCCATGCAGGTGGCTGCATTATTATCCTGGTCGTAATAGTACATCTCTTCCAGATCCTCGTCATCGTCATCTTGGTTATCGTCATAATCCTCGTTGAGAGGGTTGAGAGCGCCTCGGAAGCCGTATTTGAAGTTCCTGCGATGCTTGCCTTCTTCTTCTTGGCGGTGGACGGCGTAGCCAACGTCAAAGACTTCGCGCAGGTTGATGGCTCCTGGGGATCGGAAGTCCATTTTGCGATCCAGGGCGACGGGGGGGGTTTCCATGAAGTGGGCGTGGAGGGCTGGGGTGGCGAGAGGAGGGGCATCGGCGGCGGCATGGGTTTTTTCGTTCGTTTGTTTGATCCAGGGATGTTCCAGGAATTCCTTGATGGTGAAGCGCTTGTCTGGGTCGACAGTGAGGAGGTGGGAGACGAGGTCTTGGACGGATTTAGAGATGTCGTCCCACCACGGGGAGAGGAAGGTGTATTGGCCCCGCGCGACCTTTTCGGTCAGCACTTGGATGCTCTCGTCGTAGAAAGGGGGGAAGCCGCATAGTAGGGTATATAGGACACAGCCTAGAGCCCACATATCGACGCTCTTGGAGTATCGTTCGTCCTTGACGATTTCAGGGGCCGTGTAACCGACCGTCCCACATGGTGTCATGGTTTCACTGTCCCATATCACCTTGGACAGGCCGAAGTCGGCAACTTTGATCTGACCAATACCGCCACCTCCAACGCCAGGGGTAAACTCGCCTTCGTCAACTTTTCCTTCATCACCAGGGCCAGAGGGTTTAGGGTTTTTAGAGGGGATGAATGGAGCGGGGTAGAAGAGGAGATTTTCAGGTTTGATGTCACTAAGTTAAAAATGTGATGTCAGCGGGAGACGCTCCATCAATGCCAAGATATTATGACGCCATGTGGTCTGGATCTTAATGCATACCGGTGTACAACGCCAGATTGCTCGTGTAAATATTCTATCGCCTTTGCGACTTGTACTATAACATGGCGACTGAGGTCCTCGCTGAAGTATGTCAATCGAACGATTTGGTGAAACAATTCACCTCCGGGACAAAGTTCAAGGACGATATAGTAAAATTGTTTCGACTCTGAGAATTCGATCAGCTTAACTATATTTGGGTGGTCGAGTTGGCGCATTATTTGGACTTCTTTGAGGATATTTGAGCGCTAAGAAAAGACGACATTAAACCAAAAGTCAGTGACATAATACTCAAGATATGGTTGGTGTGTTTTAACAGGCATTATCTGATGAAGATTTGATGCTGAAAACTTCAAAATCTGAATCTGAATCACCAAGTCGTGAAAAAATATAAGTCGAGTAAACGCTCACCTCCACGACCTGCTTTTGCTTCTTCTTAAGGTCCGGATGAAGGTGATCCTCGCCCTAGAATTTGGCTCCACGATGTTGGCCAATGCAAAGAGAGAAGAAAGGAGGATAATAAAAAAAAAAAATAAATAAAATAAAACAGCAACCGTGGTAGGCAACATACTGCAAAATGGAAGAAAATTAAAAAAAAAGAGTGGTTAACATTCTTTTTTTTTCTTTTTTTTTTTCTTAGAAAAATAGGAAAAGAATAGAATAGGAAAAAACCAAGGAAAAAGTGTAAAAAAAGTATAAGATTAAAAAGATTATTTTGTTTATATCAGTGACAGGTCTCATACCTGTTTGGAGTTCATCTCGAATTTCCGCACGACTTTAACAGCAACCTCTCCGAATTTGCCAGTGGTATCTCTGGCACGATAGACATTGCTGAAGGCACCGTCGCCCATTTTCTCCAGCAGTTCCCACCTTTCTAAACCCGGATATTTTGGCATCTGTGACCTACTTCGCCTCTCCTCTGCGATAATCTGTTCGATTTCCGACTCGTGTCCCCTTGCAGCTTTTACGGGCACGGTCGATGACTTTTTGGTTTGAGTTGGCGCATGGGCAAACTTTGGGGGTAACCTGCTATCCAGGGCATCTAGGCCGTGGGCAGCGGCTGAGAATTGGCTGTGTGGCTGTTTCTGATGCTCTACATGGATGGTGGAGACGTTTGTGGTGGGTTCTGCATGGGGAGTGGCTATGCGGGCCTGCTTGCCATGTCGTATGAAATTCTTCAGGTTCTGAATGGTACTCATCATTGATATGCAAGGGAGCCTGAAATTGCTGATTGTGAGACGTGTGAAAAATGAAAATGTGAATGGAAAATGAGAAAGCAAGAAAAAGACATTAAAAAATGGTTGTCACAAGGAGCGGTTGGAGGCAGGCTACATCTATTTTATAAATGCGGGGTTGCCTCAGGTACTCGATATAGAGTGAGCGGCGAGTCACGATGGTTCCTGGTGGGGATAGATGTAGCAGTTGGACTGTAAGAGAAGTTGCCAATGACAAACAGGACTGAGATTAGACGAAGTAAATGAAGGATACCAAGTCGGAATGAACTGTGTTGGACAGGTTAAAGACGCTGAGAAGTATTCAAATACAGTCGAAGCAATGAGCCACCTGGGCAGAAAGTAGGGAGCTGTAGACAGGTGTGCTTGAAGGGGGAACAAGCTATGAGGGAGAGATGAGGTTAGAATAAAAGAATGAAAATAAAGGAGAGATTGTGAATGCGGTGCAACAGCGGTGATAGTAGTGGTGATGGTGCTTAATAGTCCCAGGTTGTTTAGTCGCTAAGAAAAATCTTGATTCCGTCAAAAACCGCAGCGATGAATCATGAGTACCAAGGTTGGGCCTAGCGTCAGCCGCAGTCAGGTGAGGGGCGTCCACGGATCGCGGAAGACGGGACAGGCAGACGTCATATTGATGATACTTCCTTTAATATGTTGAAAACTTCATGTTGAATATTGTTGTCTACTCTCTGTAAGGGAAATAGGATTTATGCAAACTCTTGTTTCATATTTACAGTCTACCCGCACTCCCCGCTGCTCAAAAGTCGAATGTTTGGCAAATGCCATCATTGCCCTTCAACCCTCCTCAACTCTCGCTTTGCTGATCTCTGTACTTCTGTGGGGCCTTGGGCTGATCCGCCCTCAGCAACAACTGACGTTGATGTCATTGGGGGTTTTGCCTGATGCCAATTTCCCCGCTCGCTCCCGCCTCTCGCACTTCTGCTGTTTTGATATTTGTTCGGCTTGATGGGATCCTTAGACCTAGGTACTCCGATTATCATTCTGGACAGACGATAAGCTTAATTATCCGCTGCAACGGCGAAAATGATAATACCTCGAAGCACCAAGGTCAGGCCCTGGGATGCCATCCTACTTGGACACTGGTAACCACTCTCTACACATGGATGATGTGCATTATGATCTATGTATGACATTACATATCCCTTTGTTTCTTCCCGCCTCTCAACCATGGCAAGGAACCATACCCATCCTTTGCTAGAATCTGAGAGCAGGGAATAACCATTTATTTCTTTCTTTCGTGAGAATAGAATGAAATTAACTTCTTCCCCATCTCCCCTCAGAAAAGAAGTTGTAAAAGATCTCAGATTGTGGCTCAGTCATGGGGCTAAGAGTTCCACCACACAAATAATCTAAACCCGTCACTGCTCTTTGGCTACAACTATTAGTTAGTTAATGTATCACACTTGTAGTTACTAAATTCACAACACGAATTAGAATGTTGAGTCTGTACCTGAATGAAAATCCCCAGCCCAGCCGTTCAACCTCACTCTAATCTCCCGAGTCACGTGGTCATTGAACTTAAACTTCTCTTAGGTACCTCTTTTGACTAACTTAACTCGAATAGGCTCAGATCCATCACAAAATCTGGTAACTCTGTAAACTTTCGGAATGATTTATGTTCACAAAGTTAACATGAATTGACATCTTGGTTAACTCAGTCCTTTACCCAAGGAAACATCCTCTCAGCATCACAAACTCTCTATATATTATTTATTTACTGCATAATTCTTCCAAAACAATTCTTACATGACTAATCTTCTACAGATTTTCTGTCACGTGGTAAACTAAATAACTATTACCTACCACCAGCTTCTTGAATAAATCATTCAATTGAACATTTTTATCTCAATTCTTCTCATTATCAAATTATTTAAAATGTCAGCTACTTTAATAAAATCTTTTAAAACTTTTAATTAGAACAATCTATTTATTGTTACAGTATTTAGTTAACTATATAAGTATTTGATATGATTAAATTCTCAACTTAATAATTAAAAAGTAATCTTTATAGATAAAAATCTTTAATTCAATAAATAATTTTTTATATATAAAAGTAAAAATAAACTTTTTCAATTATTATTGTATGATTAATATATTATATATAAAATATATATTCAATACTTTTAGTATTGTAAAAACTTAAAATAATAAATTTATTAAATAATATTTTGAACTAGTTAGTTAAAGTTAGAATTTTTATATAATAAAATTATGCTAAAAAAATTTATACAACTTAAATGAATTAATATTTAATAAAATATAAGATATAACTAGCAGTTGTCAAAAAATTAAATATATTATTACTATTAATGATAAAAATTAAAATGCAGTAAATTTAACTTATACTAATGAAAAATATTTAATAACTAAATAAAATATAACTTATATAATTTATAAAATTATAAATTATAAATAAATATAATAGTCATATTATACTTGAATATAATAATTGCTATTTAAGTTACAAAATTATAATATTATATATATCTTTTTACTTCTTATATGTCAGGCCTATCAGCCTTCTTATGTAATCCACACCGTATATAACTTCCGCGTAGCTAGCGATCGCTTCATAATCAATCAAGCAATCTATCCTTCATATTATATTTATTGTAGTTATTTAATACGAGCTACTTTTCTTTATTCAAGAAAGTATATAAAAAGTATAAAATATAAGACTAAAATAATAATAATAATAAAATTTTCTTATTAAATATATAGTATTTAGACAAAAGAGATTATAAAAAATACTACTATGAAAAATAATTTTAAATTATAAATCTAATGTTATTTAATTTAACTAAGATTCTATTTGACTATATATTTAAATTTTATTTCTTTTTTTCTCAGAGTTAACTTATGAATTTCATTGATTTCTGTTTTTTTAAACTTCTAAAACTACTTATAATATGACTTATTGAAATAGTCAAAGTAGCAAGATTAAATTTGATATAAATTTTCTTTCTAATGTTATGAATCAAGTTTTTGACCAGTTGATAAAGAGATGTCAGCTGATTATGCACAGTATCTCTATACTAACAAAAGAGCATATGAAGTTATGAGCTGACATTGCCAGGTTGAAGTGAAAGAGAGAAAAACTGTTTTACATATATTGCTGCAAAAGGAATTATAACTGCTTACGAAGAATTAGCTAAGGCTGCTAGAGCCCAGGAGCTCAATCAGCTCATTGAGAAAGGGATTGCGGATGCAAATCTGAGGACTAGATATCACTGTAGTAAATGTGGCAGTATGAAGCACAAGGATATAGAGCTTTGCCTGATCACAGCCTAAGAATATATTTTGTATAATTATCTTGTATACTTCCTATGTAGTGGTTGTTGCTTAGTTTGAAATTTGTCGAATTTGAGTTTGGGGTTGTTTGGTTAGGTGGTTTGTTGCGGGAAGATTACGTTGCAGTATTCGTATTCGCTGACGTCAACTAGTTAACTAAAGTTAACGTGGTTAAGAAGTTTACGTAAACGGAAATCAAGATGACTCCGAGTCAAAAAGTAATAAAAAGGAAACTTTCTTTGTTGAGGCTCCTCTCGACGGGATGGACCCTCCTTAATTTCCCAACCTCCCTTCTACCTTCTCGTCAGCACCACTTCCATGGGCCCCGGCGCTCAAGTTCACCCTCCGGAACGGTTGCGGCAGAGGACTGCGGAACTATATATAGCAACAGCCACGAGATTTATCTTCATAGGGAATGATCACACTCCTGAACATTTGAGATGATAGCATGCACTGCACTGTCTAGAAAATCGCTTTTCAGATTTAAAAATAACTGGGAACCAGCCTGGACTGGTCGTGAATGTGATCGGATATTGAATGTCGGGCCTGAGAATGAGTCAAGGTTACGGACCAGTGGTTTCCCTGTGCTCCTACAAGGAGATAGAAAGTAGATCCCATCCATGGATTATTGTGGAGAGATCGTAATCATCTGGGCAGCGGTGATTTGTTGGGGATGTATCTTTGTACCCAGTTATCCGCTCAAACTATTCGCCTGCCAGTAAAATGGAGTGGACAACGGACACTCCATGGCTTCTTGCTCAGGAAATGAAGGAGTTTTATCGGGGAAAGGGCGGGAGAGGGCCCTTTGGCTTCGCAGATATATATGGATGTGCTTGTAGAAGACTGAAGCAGGGAATGACGTTTGAGATTTTGTCGCACCATTTTGAGAGACTGCTCTTGATGGGATGGTATTGAAAGAAGCATCTGTGCATGGGTTTCAAACAGGTATGCATATATGTGCATACTTCAAAGGCTATGGCCAAGTTTCCTAGAAGTGGGAGAAATGATTTTATTTGAACATTCTCCTGTCAAACAGCTTGACGGATGACGCAGGCTTGTCTTTTTTGTTTATTTTCATTGTCAAATATTAACTGAGTGTCGAAAGCAGATCTTGGCTAGCATAGCAGGGGAACCAGGGGACAATCAGGAATTCAGGACAGGAGCCGGAAGTATAGTACCTACTTGAGCTATGTTACATAGCATAGAGGCAGAAACTGGAATGGACTATTGTAGGGTTAAAATGTTTTATGATACATTGATTATGATTCATTCTACATGAGATGGAATATATAGTTGTTCAAATTAAATAAGGGGATTTGAAATGCGATTCGACACTTGACCTTGGCTGAGGTAGAATAACATATTTTGCACTGTTTCAACTGGGCAAGAGAAATGCATATCTATGCAATGGTCATACTAGTTAGTTATAATATAGAATGTAGGTAGGTATATATAAGTACAAAGGATGGAAAAAGGAACGGCCGAGTTTCACAAGTTTCAGTCCAGGCATATTTTGCGAAAAGTCGATTAAGGAATGGTTTTATAAGTGACGCAACTGATTCAGGGTCTGGTATTTTGCAGGACGCAGGACTATTCGCCGCTGTGGTATCACGATGAGAATCATGAGGTTGACAACAGGCAGTGTAATACATGTTGTGTTAGAACGACAAATCCCACAACCATGGATCTGGAAAATATATCCAGGTACCGGAATGGATGAACTCTATGTCCTGCCAGTATTCCGAACCTCAGGGGCAAAAAAGGGTGGTTAATTGAACCTTGTTTCAGGGCAATGATATGAGTCTTGAAGTAAAAATTCAGAAGGGGTGTCGTAGTTATATGTGGCATCATATATGCACTCCGACAACAAGCAGCTTGAGGACAATGATGGATGGCACTGCATATATCCAGTTGTTGGATGTGAAATAAATTCCCTTGATGCAAAGCCAGATGCCCAATGCCGGCATTCCAGCCATGAATAGAAAATTTAAACCACAGGCAGATGGTGCCTTTCCCTCTTTAAAAGTGTACCAGGGATCAGACAGAGTTTCAACCTAGAACAAACGTCAACAATATTCCGAATCTGAGAGACAAATAAACATAAGGCAGTGGCCTGGTTGGGTGAGCGGCATATCTGCAACGAAATTGAGACCACGTTTGAGGGCTGTTTCAAGGGTCAACGTGGCTAAAATAAGAAAATGCTTCGAGAATAATGCTTAAAGAATCCAGGGCAACCAGACGGACATACATACAAACGGTAATTATGATTATTATAATGTATGATGTATGCATGTACGAGTCTTCGCTGTGCGGAATGACCGTGGTTATTTGCGAATGTTAACTGTTTCTGAACCCATCAAACAAACATTCTTTGTACGTAACTTGGTCCTTTCTCCGTGACCTGTTTGAAGGACAAGCCATGATTTGTTGGTAGTTAGTTAGAGGAGGAGGAGGAGAAGAAGAAGAAGAAGAAGAAGAAGAAGAAGAAGAAGAAGAAGAAGAAGAAGAAGAAGAAGAAGAAGATGATGATGATGATGATGATGATGATGATGATGTTCTGAGTGGTCTCCTTTTGCTTTTTGTTCCTTCTCCTGATGGGGATCGCCCCTTTGCCGTTGGTTGTGTCTTGTGTCTGCGCTCTGGGTCAGGCCGCCTCATCTTCAACCTTCCCTTCTCCATCCTCCTATTTGTCCTTTGCGACCAACCATCTCCACACACCCAGATCCCTTCAACCGCTTTGGCTTGGAGGTTGCTCTATCACCTGTGATTTACCATCACCGTGCTTAGCGCCTGCCCCAGGCCTTTTTAATCTCAACTTGTCCGAATTGTCACCAGATTATTGGTCTTGCTGGGCTTGACTTTTCCTATTCGTGCCGTTGCATCAAACCCATCTCAACCACCCAGATTCCACACCATATTTGCAGCTAGGGCCTGCTTGTCTGTGACAATCTTTTTGCTGAAGGCTTAAACTTCTGCTCAACCGCCCAAGGCAAAACGGAGGTTGTCTTCATTCCATCATCAACTGTTTCTAATTCTAGTGCGTTGCCAACCATCACATCTTCCCGCGCCTCGTTCACACTTTCCATCTCTCCAGTTCCAATATCCAGACAACACAGGCTATTGCAATACAAGCGGACTTTACCCCGCGAGTTGCCGAGATTATATATCGCAAGTGACCACAGGTGAAAGTACATAGGGAGAAAACCCTCTCTTTGCCTTGGCAAGGTCATCTTGTTCTCTATGGGCCAGCTCACCATTCATCTCGATCTCACTTTTAACAATCGAGCTTTGCAGGGAAATAGTCAAGCTCAGATTCTTCCAGAACTGGAAATATTTAAAGCGCTTATTCATCCGTTATGAGACCACGACCGTGACTGAATGAAATATTTGAACATCGAGTTACATGTTATTTGAGGGAATTAAAGGGTGTGCGGCCCAACTTTTATATTTAGCTGAGCATCCTGAGAAGACACTCCATCATCATCATCATCATCATCATCAACACCACGTTAATCCCGTCTTCGTTTCCTATCCCTATGCCGGCTGTGAATGTTTTGGGGCCCAGCCCCTTGACCCTTCACGCAGATCCTCCATGTTTGAAAGCCCATAAAGCCCTCCCTCGAAAGCGCGATTTTCCTAGACATGGTTTAATATCGACACCGCCGTCATCCAATCTCAGACAAGATGCCACGCCTTCTTCGAATGGATACGCCTATTCCCCTGCGCCAACGCTTCCGTTGACACCGCCCGGCCTCCCGTTATTGCCCCACAAGAAAGTTAACAATGTCATTTCGCGGGAGGGATCCCATGAGCTTATCCCAGATACCACAGGAACTGCTACGCCAACGCACCAGTTTACCCCCCCGACACCCGATATTACACCTCCACGAGCACTTTCATCCTTTAAGAAAAGAGAAGGGCTTACACCAATACAGCCATCAATGTCCTCAAGGGCTGAGTCATTTACAACTGCTCGAGAAGCTTTGTCATCGGACGAAGATGTGGCGGAAAGGAGAAATGCAGCAGTGCCACTGTTATTGCGCCCAACAATACCCAAGCTGCCTCATCCCCTGCGAACGAATACGTCGTTTTGGGAGCCAGACCTCCAGAGAAATGTTGGGCCAACCAAGGATGGCCATGAGTGTGTTGACCAGACAGACGCAACCGCGTTCGATTCCTTTGAAGGAGAGTGGGTTAAGCCACACGAAAACAATATGATCAGACCCCATGAAAACAAACACAAGCGCCCACCAATTCTTGCAGATCATGATCCGTTCTCACAGAACAGCAACCACCCTTGCGATTTGCACGCGACAACTAAATCTTCGTGGAGTAGGGAAAGGAACTTGAAGGAAAGGCTTCAAAATTCCCGCAGAACACCCATTACATCCGTTGAAAAGGTTGCAGCAGATTTAGAATGGGTTTCAGGAGACGGCCACCTCGAGATGACCGATCGCGTCCGTACTTGGCGACTTTCTGGGATATCGACTTCCTCGACTGTGGAAGCGATGGTGATCGACTCTCCACCACGAAAACATCCGACACTAAGGCATTCGGAGAAGCATTCCTCCCTTCGATCTGCCAGATCTGCGAGTTCTCCAATTCCAAAGTCAAACTTCGACGACTCGGCATCGTCTTTGGCGGATCACTGCCATCGTCTGAACCGAAAGTCTGCCCGGATTACCAATGAAAATCGATGGAGTGTGTCATCGGATATGTCCTTTGCTGCAAGTGTAGTCTCTGTGCGACCAAAATTGAAGCAGGATGTTGTACCAGTTGTCGTCATTCCCCAACGACGATCCTCATTGAAATCTACAAATTCGACCAGCAGAAGCCATTCAAGAACACGTTCCCTCGGATTTACACTTCGCCCTACCACTGCACCAGACAGCGGAATTAGGTCGTTTGATATATTTCAAAGACAAAGGCGTACCTTGTCCGCATCTTTGCCTTCAACGAACTATACATCCGGGCCTAACATTCCTCAAAGAAAGTCTTCATTATCCGCACCTACGAGCAGGAGTAACTCTAGAGCACCTTCACTTACTTTGGAGAGTTCACGCCGTCATGCTGCCGTGCCCGTTATTCAACCCCTGGCTCCCGAAAGCCCCACCAAGAGACTTAACAAACCGACAACTCCAAAAATCACCATTCCTGAACCTGTGAACAAGATCACAAGTCTAAGTCCACATGTATTCGAGCAGCCTGGCGACGAACATGGCCCAATAGCCTCTCCATCTCTATACCTTACTCCATTTCAGCCATCGATTCAATCTCTATCTCCAGGTCCAGTGGAGATCCACGAGGCTAGAGCCGTACCAGTTTTCTTTCACAACAACAAATCCCTTTTACTTGTAGACCAACAGCCGGCGGTCACTGAATCTCGAGCTGTCCAATACCTTCGCACTTCGCCAGGTGATTTGGAAATGAAAGCTACTAGACCACAAACGCCCGAAATGCCCTTCCAAGCAACGACAAGTGATTTTTATTCTCCCCTCCGCAATCCTCGCTCCCCTCCTAGACCCCCAGCTGTCAAATTCATCCCACAAACTCCTATTGGTGAAATTGGTCTAACACTGGTTCCGGAAAGAACCAATTCAGATAGTAACAATGGTCGAGTTCGCCGCCTCAACTCCGTTCGCCGCGCCTTTGGCTCATGGAGGCGTACGGAAGCATACCCCGTCACTTTCCCGTCACAACATGTTCGAAACACGAAAGCTGGCACTAACATAGACAGCAAGTTACATCCCTTCTGGCTCCCACAACCATTCTGGGAAGGATTCGCAGACTCCGATTGTGAACTGGAGGGTGGTGCCGCGTCCAGTTCTCCCCTGGCTAGAGGCAACGACGATCTAATCGTCAGCAACTCCCTAGGCATACCGCAAAAGCGTGTCACTCTCGCCGGCCCGCTGACTATAATTCGACGGATCTCTAACAGAACTCGATCTCGTCGGGCTGCACGTCGCATGAACAACAGTAACCAGGAGCTTGCATCGCACTTTAAATCGACCTTCCCGGCGCATCAAGTTCACTCTTCTACCCGTCATAATCACCATTACACGATGTCTAGAGCTGGCCTTTTGCACATATCTGTCAGCTCCGTCCGCGGGTTACAAGAGTGGATTGCGCGGGCTAGGCGTCAGAGGACGCAGGATAAACTTGAAGAGCGGAGGGAGAAGCTAAGGCAAAAGATTGGGGGACGCGTTTTGCCAGCTAATGCGGCTCGCATCGTTCCGGATGGCCGTTGAATTCCTGCGATGGGTGCCATATATTAAAGTGGCTGAGTCCACCCCTTTTTGCCCAGTGCCGAACTCGTGTGTATAAAACAGGGAATTTTCGTTTTCGGTTTGATATCGACAATTTTTCTTCCCATATATCTTCTACATTATTTGCTCTTTTCTTTATCTGTTTGTTATGTTCGTTTGCGTTTTGTTCTTTTGCTTGTTTAGCGATCTACGTTGACATGAAATGGTACATGAGCAAAACGTAATCATCACGCAGTTCGATGAGATAATGATTTATGAAACCCTCTCATATTAGATCGAAATCTGGTAACACTCACCCCTGATTTATTAAGTGTGCGATATTTTCTAGCTCAGCTGTCTTTCCATATATTTTCCATATGCCATGTTACTTCCCTTACATCAGACGGTTTACTTGGTCTTCGGTTCCCTGACTATTTGGCTTCGTTTGGGCTCGGTGGCTTGCGCCTCAAGCCTTGCCTTTATCACTTTGCGATTTGACGACATATAACCTGCAGCAGAGCATAGAGCGTTCACGAACTTATGCCGATATGAGTTGAGACATCTCGGAGCACAACCAAAAACATGAAAAAACAGAGCAGGGGAAATGAAATCGTTATTCACCTCACGCAAAAATTTTTATCCAGAATAACCCTAGAAATATATCCACTGCCTCAATCTGAGTTAAATAGGCTTTTTTCTACCGTTTCCACCATGCCTCTTTTTTTCCTGTTATTTTTTATGCCCTGCATTGCCTTTACTCGGTACCATATTGTTTTGCTCGATTGCTTCTTTTCTTCCGCTTGACGCCCCGTTTTTCCGCCATGACAACCTATATATAACTCTGTTCGCGGATTTAATCCTGATACTTCCAGTTCCTCCACATTTTCTCCCCAGACTCCCTTTCGCAGATGTATATTATTTGCTTTCCTTTGACAATTGTAGCTTCTTAAATGCCACTACTATTTCTTGACTTTCTAATGGATCGACGGATGGCTCCGTTGTTCTCCCAAGACCCTGAACGTCCGAGCAAACGCATCCTCTGAAATTGTGAACCCCATTGAATGCCCTTCGCTTTCAATCTTCATCATCCTATCATGCTTCCCTAACCCGCCCTTTCCAATGCGTCCTCCCCTTCCAAAAACGGTTGTGGGGCCTTCGAAGAATCAAATTCGATGACTGGTATTTCCTCTTCCTCCTCTGCATTTCCACCTTCGGAGCCCTGAGCAGCTAACTTGGCAGATTTCAGCTGGAGATCTGCCACATGGGCAGAGGGGTTTAAAGGCCGAGAATGCAATTTCGGTTTCGACAGTGGTTGCTTCGGGAGCGGTTGGCGTTTTTCGGGGGAACTTGTCATTTTTGTTTAAACTTTGTTTTGGCATTGGGTATTAGGTTTCTGTTCTCCTCCTTTGCTTCATTTAACCCGAACCGGCTATCCTGTATGGATGTTGGATAATTAGGGTCGGTTTTGATTCTCTAATCATTTACTTTGTTAGCCGATAGACCCCGCGTGTCACGTGACTGACTTATACCTAACCCCAATGTGAGAGTTGGTCTGTCTGGCGTTATCTGCGAAACCTTACCGACATCGGACAGAATCATTTTCATGTCAAACGAACCCCGCCAACCGGCAACTGGAGCATTAAGTCACTAAGATCTCACTATCAGAATCCTACTTGCGTCCATTCGAGTGCGTCAACCCGCGCGACGTGACGTGGGACGAGGTAAGGGATTCTTCCCTCCCGCCGCATCCCCAGCTACTGCGTGGAGGGCCTGGGTTTGCCGACAGCCATCGTACCTTTTCCTGGCAATTGCTCTGATTAGCTGGTTGCGCTCTTAAAACTGCCGCGGCCCCTCCGTTTTTCAACGCTGGTTGCCTCCCGTTATACCTGTTCCCAGCGTGGCTGCCCTGGCATTCAGTGACGGCCATAGACGCAGAGCCAGTGGCAATGGGAATGTCGCTGGCGTTGGCGTCGGGAATGGTAGCAGTGTCGGAGGGAATATTGGCCCAGGAGGAATAGCTACCCCGATCGGGTCAGCGGGAGGAGGCGTGGAAGGGGGTGTGACATCCACCGCAGGAGCTGGACCAGCCGAACAGCAGCACAGTCACAGCCCGCACACAAGTCCCACACGGAATACTGCTAGTTCATGTACGGCTGGTCCTTCTCCTGCTTCGGCATCTGCATTCGGAAGTGGAGTCAAGAGACGGAATGTGTCTATCTCAGGGCTGGATAGCTCACCCGGAAGCACATATGACGTTGAAGAGTCGGAGAATAATGCTCATAGCACCCAGGATGGGAGAAGGAAACAGCCCGTGAAGCGGGCATGTAATGAATGTCGCCAACAAAAGGTTCGTGGTATTCTAAATGTTGTCACATATAGATATATGTAGTTGTCGGTTCTTGTTTCGTGTCCAAAATTATTTTGCTGCCAATTTTCTTGACCATATACTAACATTTTTTTCATTACAGCTACGATGCGATGTTATTCAGGAACCTTTTACCACGTGCTCACGTTGTCGTCGTCTCAAGCTGGAATGCAAAATCGAAACAAATTTTAAACGCATTGGCAAGCGTAGTCGGAATGCTGAAATGGAGCGTGAAATAATCGAACTGAGAAGACAGATTGCGAATGCAAATGCTGCAGCCAGCGCGGCGCAACAGCAACAGCATCAGCAGCAACAGTCACTTCCACCCATTAAGCAAGAGTTGCCCTCCATTTCTTCGCAGTATACTTCGTCTCAACGTAACATGTATCATCCGTCAGCTGGTGATGCAGGGGACCAATATATCGGATCGCACGAAGCTGTTGCATCGCTGCTTGATCTACGATCCGGACTAGATTCTTCCAGTTTCTTAAGGAGCCCTAGCGGCCAGCTAATTATGACGAAACGCATTGAAGATGTATCAATAAGCCCGGAGCGTGTTACGGAGCTCTTTAGCCTGTTAGTATTCCCCTTTTATTTTATTTTTTTTTCCATCCCAAATAAAGTCACAGCTATGCTCACTTGGACCAGTTTTTTCACGTTCTATCACCCATATCTCCCCTTTCTGGATAGAGAGAAGCCTCCTGAAGATTTATTTTCTACTTCACCTCTCCTATTCTGGACTATAATCAGTGTAGGGTCCCGTCGATACGAGACTGACCCTTCGCTCGTCAATGCCCTGTCTGGACCAGTTTCGAGATTGGTATGGAGTACATTGGCAGACGTTCCCCAGAGCTATCATGTTGTGAAAGCACTTGCGCTGTTATGCACATGGCCATTCCCAACTAGTAGCACATCGACAGATCCGACTTTCATGCTCTGTGGCATGATGATGCAGATAGCAATGCAAATTGGCCTTCATAGACCATCACATGCTCAAGATTTCTCTAAGTTTAGGGTCGAGTTTAGAGAAGGGGAATTGAAAGACAGGGTTAAAACTTGGGCTGTTTGCAACATAGTAGCTCAAAGGTATTGTCGTCCCATGCGAACTGGGGTCGTTCAGATAGTTAACTCTCCTATTAGGGTAGCAACCGGTTATGGCCAACCATCGCAGACACTGATTGACTGGACACTGTCATCTCCCGAATCAGTTGACCAAAACTTCAAGCTTCCAGCCGAAATAAAAGTTCGATTGGATATCGAGAAATTCTGCGATAAAGTTACAAGGGGCCTCTACAACAATCCTCGAGATCCTGTGGGCCTCTCCAGCGATGATGAAAGATTTATTGTAACCACCATTCTCGCGAAAGATTTCGAGGAACTGGAAAGTCAACTAAGACAGGAACACAATTGTATGTGATTTTCTCTTTGTTGATTCTGAATATTCATATTTTAATTCTCGCATTTATTAGCCATAACAAGCCTCTATCTTCGGGCAGCTGCTCTTCACCTACGTCTTTCGGCCTTTTTTGATAACCCAACGGCCAAAGATTACCGCCAAGGTCTTTCAGCGTTGTATCTCGCCACTACCCTCTTTCTTGACGAGGCTCTAAATATCGAAACCACCGTGGGACCTGTACTTGCATATAGCCCAAATTACATATATCAGATGACCCTAGCTGCCGGATTCATCTTGCTTAAACTGTGCAAAAGCTTCTTTGCTGTTCACATCGATATGGATTATACAAAAAACCTTTTCAACAGAACTATTTGGACCCTACGAAGTATGTCAGTTACGAATAACGATCTTCCACAGCGATTGGCGGAAGTTTTGGCCCAAATGTGGCGGATGGGCAGTGCGCGAGTCTCCCCGGACGTCGCCAGATCTTCATCTAGCCAGCCGGAAATGGACGACTCCTTGCAACTTAAGGTCAGATGCCGCATGAGCATGTCTCTTGTCTACGACTCAGTTTGGCGGTGGAGAGAGGATTTCCAGGCCAAGGGAAGGAACCTAGAATGTATGTTCCCTCCATTTATCCATATACATCTGGTCCTTTTCCATACCCATAATTCTTCAGTGATTCTAATAACAATACTCCAGCGTTCCTCAAAAATCCTACGAATCCAGACTCCAACGTGTCATCCTCATCCTCATCTGTAGCCCCGTTACGGGCCTCAAGCTCAACCCCCGGGGTCGGGGGCGCAGATCCCAGCCTTGCACCTGCACCACCTTCTCACTCGACCAACATCGGCGGTGCAGGAGGGACACTCAGTACATCCTGTCCCGGAAATGGACTAGGTCTCTTGGGTGGCTTTGTGGAACCGAATTACGAAGTGTTCGATCCACTAAATTGGATGCTGGATGGACTGGTAGATTTCCCCTATTCCTATAATGCCGTTCAGGGGTTGGAGACGTAAGCCATCCTAGCGTGGCACGTTTCCTTTAACTCTACCAATTTTTATTAAATAATTTCTTTGGCTTCTTGCAATTAAAATGTCTATATACTACTACAGCACACATCTAGAATAGATTGCTTCTCTTTATATATATTCTCATGATTTACCTACCTTTTCTTGGCATATTATATCCACTGGATTGCACGAGCATGTAAAGAATTTTTATGTTACCTTTTTTTTTTTCACCACCCATTTACTTAAATGAGGTTAATGAGGGAACATTTGGGTTGGTTAGCATTTTACTCTTTAATTCCACGCCCAGTTTGTTTACAGTCTGTTTAACCTCCAACCCTGCGATCACGGGAATAACTGAAAACCTGAATCAGTTTTACCCTATCTAATCACTTAATCAGTGGGTATTGTTAACTTCAGCGGCGCTAATCAAGGGATAAATGTACAATTGAGTTGATGAAAATTTGTCTGAGCAATAAGACACGAAAGCAAATTATCTGATTGCTGCGTTGTGTTTTCTATCAGAGAGTGTATCATGATGAAAAGGAAGTAAACGACGGTGCAAATCAGAAAGATAGGCAATCAGCAGCGATAAGGTCGAATTCCTAGGTAGCATTATCACACTCGTGGCAAATAAACCGATTGGTAAAGAATAATTCAACAACTTCCCCCTCTACCTCCACCACATCCTCCGCCAGAGCACCCTCCAATACCGCCACCGGCCCCACTGTCAACCAACCTCCCGCATCCTCACGCAGTAACCCTAGCACTGCATGCGGTCGTGACGCAACTGCGATTTAAGTCTCAAGACCACCAGCTGCTCTCCGGGAGGATTTAAGGTGTCATGAGGGTTAACTGCGCTGTGAGCGGATATATGTGGGCCTTTAACCGGATCAGAGTCGATATCTGCGCGGTCGTGGAGTTCGCCCGCAGCCTTTTGGGCCTGAGATGTCGCGGTGGAGTTGAAAAAGGCCATTGTTATTATACGATTCTCGAATAGCTTCACAGTACCAGCATGTGCATTCGCTATAGACCTGGCCTCCTGCTATTCGCTGGTATTGCTTTGATGTCCATTCGAAAGCGACGTTGAGTTTATTCGCGATCACTTTGTCCTCGTGCCCGATGTACCTGCCCTGTGCATGGTGGGAGGAATATGGGAAAAACTGGAATGGCGAAAGCTGGTGGGTGTGCCAGGCAAGATCGACACACATATAATCTGGAAAAAAGTTTTGTATTTCGTGATGAGACGTGTCATAGTTAATTCGAGTGCTGGGAATGAATCCAATCGATTTTATCCATCTTTTCTATGAATGATCCTTGACGGATAACTGCTCCTACTAGATCAAGAGCGAAGGGTGACGAATTCCCCAATAACGAGACATCATTTTTTGAACGTTGAAATGTTCTTCTTGGTTACTAGCCCGGCACCTTTGAGTGCCATGTGGACATGTGTTCTGTTCCTTAAATTTTCTGAAAGAAAATCTCGCACCATAGACATTGATGCAAGGGCATTTTGGGAGAGGTCCACCAGACCAAGTAGTGGAATGCTAATTGCTTGCTGGATGAGATTGTTGGGAAAAGAAGGGCTGTGACGTCCACCTCTTGGATTTTCAGGCATCCCGTTCCAGCTCAGAATAGTGCCTGGCATCGGAACTCCATTTGTCATGAGAAGAAGTACATAGTGGGCGAACTTTGCAATTCGAAGTCTCATGCGTGACAGTGACCCTACAATGAATGCATATAGTTCTGAGATTTGTATCAGCAAAGCCACTACCATGTTCAAAGGGCCATTCCAATGATGCGATCTGCGGGTGTTCTTCCTGCCATGGAATCATCACCTGGCCCTGGCATTGGGGGGTAAGTAAAAATCTTGGACGGGCTGTCATTGGTATTATCCCATTGAAGGTCCGTTTGTGCGCAGAAATTTGTCACCGCCTCGTCTATAGGAAAGTAGTCACAAAAGTCCACAGCTTGCCATGGCAAACCTGTTGACCAAAACTCATTTTTCACATGAGAATGCAGTCTTCTAGAAAATCTCGGGGACTGAGTAAATAGGCATGCCACGCCATCAGCACCTCTGGGAATAAATAATTAGCTTCCAGTAAATCAACAAAGAAGTTGAGCATCTACCTAACGGAGGCATCATATCAAACGTCCGAAATATTGTTTCTTTCCAACCTCTTAAGGCCTCCAGGGCACCTGAACGTTCTATATCATAGATAGTGACGGCGCCCCTACGGGATCCAAAGCCATCTCTTCCGATACACTTTTCGTTCCAGTTAGAGAACCTATCAACCACCCTGCCAACATAAACTGCCCATCGCTTCTACCTGATTAACTGGGCGGCTTTCAGCCTGTCCTCAGTTCTGAAAACTTTCATAATCCTTGTCATGGAGATTAAAAAGGCCCATCAGTGGCAGAAATCATTTCACGGAGATGAATTAGAGCGGCCAAAAGCTTTAGATGTGCAATACATTCGTCTGTTGAAACAGGAAAGGGCCTCATAGGATTTGCAGATATTTGTGGGCCTGGAGGCGCTAAATGAAGCTCTCGAAATGGCGGCAACGTGGTTCCAGCGCCCGAATTGGGGTCGTCTCGCATAAAGTGGCGGAGGGTCATTCAACGGAGCAGGCCTGAACGTCGATGAAGGACCACCGGCCTCTGGTTGAGGAATCCTCATATTTTTTTTTTTTGGGGGGGGGGGGGGGGGGAAACCTACCAACGAACAACGTTTTGGGTTTATTGTGGGTCGATAATTCTGAGTATGGCTCGACTTAAAAAAGTCCACTCTAAAGTGAGTGCCCATCAACAACAAATATCAATGATCCAAGATCAGAGCGCTTCCGATTTTATCTTCAAAGGGTATAAACATATTAAAAGGAACCTGCTCTAACTCGCACCTAGCACTAAATGACCTTGCGCTCCCAGGAATATTGAATTGAAAGTCTGAGGAAGATGAGATTTTAATAATGGAGTCCGGCTGCCACACTCTTTATCGTAAAACAACTACACGGGAGTAGAATGGCGAAGCTAATTACTCCACCATGCTGTCGGCAGTGCACAATCGAAGAATCAACCTTGGGAGTTGATGGCAAGGCTAACTCCGCTTGTAACTAACCTTCCCGGATTTGAGAAATGACATCCAGTTAAGACACTAGATATCTCATGTAGCTTAACCTCTAGTAAACGGTTGATTCTTTCCACAGACGAACCGGGTTAAGCAGAGTTGATTATAATTAGGGAGGTATTCCAAACCAAGCCACCCCTGAAGATTATATCAACGTTGAAGAGTACATCGCATTCGACTCCTATTCATTAATGACACAAGTGAGATGTTTGAGAGGTAGATGTAGACAGACAGGTTTTGCACGCTGAGCCTCGTGTCAATGTGCCTGGCCTCAGACAGTTTTACCATCAATTGGCCACTGACCATGCAGAACTTTGCAAGTTAGCGATGTTGATCCGGGATAGACTCCGATAAATTTGGCCGGAAATTCGCTCAGGCTTTAGATAGCCCGGTCTGGCCCTGGGATCTCGTTGAAATCCTATACGATATCTTCTCTTCCTATGTGTGTGAGTGGCATTAATGTGTGTGGATGATAGATAAATATAGCAAGTTTTCATCAACATTCAGAGAGTCGTGTAGCGAGAAGGTAAATAGTCAACCATTATGGTAAACTCTGGAGGGTAGTTATCCATAGTTATATCAAGAGCAGTTAAACCACGAAGACCTTTGGCTTGGGGGGGCCCGTAAGGCAAGTAAGACGGCTGGCAGTGTGTCATGCGACAGAATCAAAATAAAATAAGCCATATCTGCCTCTCCCCATTTTCTCGGTCTTGGTTAGATATCCCATGGCTATATATTGAACCTGGGATATAGTTACAGGGTTGGAGGTTGATCAACCCTACCTAGGTAGTTAGATCACAAAAAGAAATTGGGTCCAGAATCTAATGAGGAGTCAATCATTCATTAATCATCTCTCAACAACTGTGAGATGGTTGATCTCGTATTGGGAGGAAATAACTAAATTTGAGTAAGATTTAGAGTAGAAATGGAAGAAGGGACCATATAGGAATATTTTTTGTAGCCATGTAGCTACATGATACGTAACCGTTTGGTAGAGATAATAATATTTGTAAAAGCAACATTCAATATCTTGTTTGGCTGTTTCAGGAACCGCGAACCTTAAATTGGCTGATTATTTGAAAGAGTTAACCGCGAACTAAATAAGTCAATTTTATTCTCTTCAATCCACAATAATGCCATCAATTCATAGTAAAAATGCAAAATACTACAGAGATAGAGAGAAGGCTTGAACTAGCAATAATCTCTTTAAAAATCAAGAAGTGTTTTCAATTTCTGAAGCTGTACATTTCTTTATTATATTATATTTCATTCATCAACTTAATAACTAATCTGCATAGATGAATTTATATACAAATTTCAATATATATATATATATATATATTTTACTGATATTGAATTATTTAGTTTATTAAGTAATAAATCTAAATCAACAGAAATTTTCAATCAGTATTTGTTGATAATATGATTAATTGTATTTTTATTATATTATTTTTTATAGAAAAAACTAAGTTTAAAGTTAGTTAAATATTATATTATAAATAAATTAAAATTAAAAAATATAATTATTAAGTATAAAATAAAGATTAAAATATTTATAATTTTAATAAAATTGAATTTATAATAAAATTAAATATTATAATTATTTAAAATCTTTATAATTTAAGAATAGGAAATAAATTATTTTAAACATAATAATAAATATAATAAATTATATTATATTACTTTAAAAAATTTAAATTTATATAAATATTTAAATATTAATTTATTAATTTAGAAAAAGTTTTAAAAATTATTTATAAAATTATTTATTTAGTATAATTTTAAAAAAGATTAATAAATAGAAATTTTTAATTAAATAAAAATATTAAAAGAGAGAAATTAAAAGAAGTTTTATTAAAATATTAATATTAAATTATTTGAATTTATATTAAAAAATATAATAGTTTTTTAACTAATATTATACTATTAAGTATTAAAAATAATATACTTAAATAGTATTAATTTAATTACTTTAAACTTTGATATATTAAAAATTTAATTAAAAAATTAATAAAATTATAATTTTTTTAAATATATATAAAATATTAAAATAAATACTTTTTAAAAAATAAAAATTAGTATTGAAATAATATATTTTTAAAACAATATACCAAGTATTTAAAAATATTCTATTTTTAAAATAAATAGACTTAAATTAAAAATAGTAACTTTTACTAATTTTATTAAAACAACTATTGAATTTAACTTTATAAATTATATAATAATATAAATAAATATATATTCTAAGTTAAAAAATTTTTATATTAATTTTTTTTATTAAAATATAAATATTATTTAATCTATTGAATAGAAATTAATTTGAAAAAAAATTAATAAAAACTTTTTATTTTCAAATTTTATAAAATTATATTTATATTTAACTATTTAGAAAAAAAAATTAAAAAAGTAATTAATTTTAAATTTTTTTTCAAATTATTATTATTAATCTATTATAAAATAGTTAGATAAGAAGTAAAAAAATATAATTTAACTATAGATATAATTTTTTATATAATTTATAATATTTAAATAATTAAAAAATATAGCTTAATATTTACTGCTATTTTTACTAATATAAAAAAATCTTTATTCTATAAAATTTAAAGTTAATAAAGTTTTTAATAAAATAAATTATTTATATTATAATAAAAATACTTAATTTTATTTATTTTAATTATTATATATAGAGTTAATCTATTTTAAAATAAATTTATATATAGAGTAAAATATATATTTATATTATTAATATAAATTTTTTTAGAAATATAGAAAAAACTATATAAAAATTTTTCATAAGATAAAATAATTTAATTTAGTTTAATATTAAAATTAAATTAATTTACTTTTATTATAGAAAAAATAAAAAAATAGTTAAAACTATTACTTTTTAAAATAATAATATTAAATTAAAAAAACTTTATAATATAATTTAAGATTTAATTAAATTTAAAGTTTATTTTTAAAAGTTTATATTTAAAAATATATAATTTAAGCTGAAAGAATATTAAATAATATATTTTAATTTTTTAATATTTAAAGAAAGTTTATTTTTCAAATTATAAAATAATTATATAAAATTTATATAACTTCAGTAACAGATTACATAATTAAAATTTAACAAAAACTAAAAAATTATATTAATTATTTTTAATTATTTAAAATAAAGCTTTAAAGAAAATATTAAAATTATTAATAAATATTTTTATATTCTGTATAATATTTAAAAAATATTAATAAATTATAATCTAATTTAATTAAATAAATATTTTAATACTTAATTATATATATTTAAAATAAATAATAATAATAATAATATTATTATTATTATTAAAAAATCATTAAATATTTAAATATTTTGATTAATTATCTTTATAACTTCTTAAATAATAAATAATATTCTTTAAATTTAATAAAGTTATTTATCAATTAAATATTTTGGTTAATTTTATTATTTTATTTTATTATTTTACTGATTCAGCAGCTTTATATCATTCTGAGTACTTCAAACATAATAATCTTGATCAGTTGCATATATAAATAAATAAATTATGAATTTTATAAAATAAAAATTTAAGACTCTTCTCTCAAGATCTAGTAAAAGAATTTGATTAAAATATCAATATTTGTAAATATGAGATAATCAATGCTATAATTATAAAAAAATATAATATCAGAATATATTTAATGTGAATGAGAAAGTGAAGAATTCAATTTGAAAAGGGGTTTAAACTAGGGAAAAAGCTATAGATCATATTATTCCACCTGCTTATTATTCAACTGCCTGAGCTTTCAACTCCGAGTCTATGCCACACTCACGAGCCCCGCGAAGATGCAGCAATTGTGGGTTTCTCAGACATACAAGAATAAGATATCATAATCCTAGAGTTATTTAGTTAATTTATTTTAATTAGTCATTGTTGAGGATAGATATATCGAGTTAAAATCTTATATAGTTGAGATACTTTGATTTGGGTGTTTGCTCGGGGGTGGATTACGTTAGTTAACAGGCCACCGTAATAGGCTTATGTAAGAGGATCTCAGAAAACGAAATTCGGAGCCATCGACTTCAGTAACAGAAGGGTATATGCAAAATATGAGAGATATGCTACTTGTGCCATAAGAAGCAGAAGATGCCAACCCGACAGAGAGGAAAGAAAAGCGGAAGGATGAGTTGATTGAGAGTGGTCGTTGTCAATTAGGAAACGTTAAATAAACTCCCGGTGCAGGACACAAAGATAAACTGGCGATATCCCAGAAAGAAGATGATTTGAGAAGGGTAAATGTTCGGGAAACATAGCCACCATTCAGATGAAATGACGAGGCCGTAAGGAAGAGTCGTATATCAGAATACGCCATCGACAAGGAGCATAATAGACTATCGCAGAAACCACGTTAGATACAAGAGCCCCAAACCGCTCCATAGTGTGTACCAATACCTTGACAAAAAGCAAAATCTAGCCATGTATAGAAGGCAGATTGGAACCGAGTGAAGATGCGAGATCATAAACGTCACAAAAAGAATAGAAAGTATGGAGATTAACTCGCAGGTTGAA